GAAATATCATGAATTGGGTGACAACTGCTGAATATATCAGTATTACTCTACAATTTTCTAAAGGGAGAGATCGAAACCTTCTATTGATAGAAGATTCTAAATAAGCATAAACTTTTAAGGCCTATAATATTGTTTTCCAATAAATGTTACTTAGACCAACCTAGTGAATATTGAAGCCAATGTATTAATGTATATAAATATGGGTGTTGGGAGTGAGTTATTCTCTGATCTAGGGTTGTAGTTGGCGAACGTTCTAGTGTCACGCTAGGAAATAAAATAAACCAGTTCAATCAAAAAGTTGGACAATAATGTACCAATTAGACAAACTTTTGAAGAAGGACAAATCAACTAAATGGACAAATGGAAAATGAGTTTAGACAGACTCATACTTCAACGATTCTTTAGAAGGCTGAAAATCCCTACATGTGTTGTACCTCTTTACTGACTGTTTTACGTCAAGGAATGGTAACATACAATCTATCAAAGTACTATGCAGAAAACCTGACCCATCTTACTAATAAATTATTCAACTGGGTTTACTACCCAGTGGTTGCTAAGTTGAATCTTGTCGTGGACCAAATTTTCATTTTACCTTTAATCCTTACCCAGTATCAGTATATATGTATATTGTGTTACCCATAACCTTCCCAAAGAGGAACGATAACACTTATTTTCGATTGCCGTAACTGTAGGAATCAACAAAAGAAAACCTTATCTGCTTCCAAAAGAAATATGTACATCCACTTTGACTGACGTAGCCCATAATAGAGTTAACACATTCTTTATGAACATTTTAGGCATAAGTTTCATACCTTGACTTCGCATTCCTTCCAATTACAGCCCACTATTTTACTCTGTCTTAAGTATTTTATTTATAAACCCTCAATTTTTAGTTTATCAGTACTAATCTTTTGTTTATTCACGATATGATTGGTGAACATTTTCAGCCCTTACGTAACACTTCACATTTCGTGATTTTGTTATTGTATTCACATGGTTTTTTCACCTATTTAGATAAAACTTATCACTACCAAAAGATATTTTGATCCTTAGTCAGTAAATATACATTCATACCCACCGAGAGATTTTGGTGAATGAATCGTTCCCTCACGTTTCGTGTTTGTTCTTTTCTTATTGACTTCAGTGCACAATTATCACACTAGACTGATCATTATTCTATATGATAAAAACTAGACAATATGAAGTTAGTTATTTTCCAGTGACCAATCAATCTATCTAACTCATTCCTACTGGATCGCAGTCGCAGCCCGAATAGCTTATTAGTAACGTCGCATAAAACGGCGCGAGTTCAAATCTCAGAGGAGATATCAGTTCGGTCAAAGATGTGAATAAGTTTTGATGACGAGTGCAAACAAGCACGAAAACTAGGTACAATAAGGTTTTTTACAGATGATGTATGATGAAGGTTGTACTACGTCTTGAACTGAAAGAAGCATGTAGGTGCGTACCATTGGATTCTACCCTAGTGACTTAATGGTAATGCGCTGGCCACGGGACATGAAGGTCTTGGGTTTGATCCCTGGAGAAGTCATAGGTGTGTACTGCTAAACAGTCTCATTAAGACAAAACAGCAGTCCAGTGTTCGCAGGGTTCTAATATTTCTGCAACTGAAATCAATAAATCAAGCCTTAAAATTGTATTTTTGTTCTGGATGATCTACAGGGGTTATTAAATTACTAAAATCGCATTTATATCCTAACTGGCTTTAGATTACTTGGTACATATTTAACTCATAGCTTCCTGCATTAGCTTTCAATACTCTTACCTTACTAGGGAGTAAAAGTTATGGTTCAGTTTCTATTCTTAGCCAAATGGACTGATAAATTAGGATAAAATCTAATGTGCACTCAAATGCATTGAGACGATAAAAACGATAGTTTACTAGTTTGAAGTGCCACTTATATTAACGGTAGTAAATCTCCGCTTGTTAAGTATAATCATAAGGAATATATAATCAAATGTAACAAAACCCTATCAGCCGTTTTATATCTTTAAGATGATTCAACCATTTCGAAAATCAGATAATTCATAAAACAACTGAAATAGCTAAATTTCGTATTACTATTATGTTTATGTTTAGACAGGAAGTATAAATCATGTGCGAACCAAATTGTAACACTTCGCATCATCATAGAACAGAGTATAAAATGGCAGTCAACTAAACTCAACCTCAACTTCATCAACTTTGAAAACGACTTTGACAACGTCAATCGAGAAGTCATTTGGCAGCTGCTTCAACACTACGCAGTGCCACAAACCTTTATTAATATCATTCAACAACTATATGAAGATGCAACATGCCAAGTAATTTACAATAGGAAGCTCAGTGATGCGCTTGAAGTGAAGACAGGAGTAAGACAAGGATGCCTATTATCACCCATGATCTTCCTGATTGTGGTGGACTGGACTGGATACACTGGACTAGGGAAAAGATCGTAGAAGATTTAGGTTTCGCCGTTGACTTATGTCTAATGTCTTGTGACACAAATTTGAAGATCTACAGGCAAAAATTAACAAGTTGACAGAAGAGGCGAGGCAGCAAAGATGGGACTTCAAATAAATGTAGATAAGACAGAAGTGATGAAGATACCCAAACAACACCACCAACAACAACAAACGCCATTCACCATCAATGGGAGAAACTTCAGGGAATTAGCCTCTTTCACCTATCTTGGCAGCACTGTTTCAACTACAGGGGGCGACACAGATGACGACGTCAAAACCAGGATCGGAAAGACAGCAAGCTAGGCATTCATTAACCTGAAACCAGTGTGGAGATCTACTGCGCTGCACTCAGCATAAAGCGTGAACAATATCCCGATATTCAACACCAACGTGAAGTCAGTGCTTCTATGTGATAGTTCAGAGACCTGGCACGTTACGAAAGGCATTTCCAACAAACTACAGACATTCATCAACAACTGCCTACGCCGGCTCTTTACTAAAGCTCAGATGGCCAGAATATTGAGAACAAGCAACAAAGAACTCTGGCTGACGACGAAACAACCAAGAATCTATCACCCAACAAATATGGAGTGGAGGTAAGTGGAGATGGATTGGGCATACGCTGAGAAGGCCGACCTGGAACATCACGCGCGAGGTCAGGCCGTTGAGTGGAACCGCGATGGGAAACGACGAGTTGAGCGGCTTAGCTGAGGGTGACATGGAGGAGATCGTGCGAAGGGGAAATGAGAACTTGTGGGCAGTGGTAGAGCCAGGTTGACAAGACTGGAGAGAAGAGAGTGCACTGGAGATGTGCTACTGACGCCGTATGTTCCACTAGGAACCCAAGGGACAAATAATAAATAATAATAATTATGTTTAGAAAGGTGAATGTTCCTAAAATAAAGAAATCTAATTGGTTATTTCAGTTTTTGTTTAGATGGATTTCTGAATCATTCTGATTTCCTTAAGCGCCAAGGTCGAAAGTGTCTACAGTATACTAATAAAACACCCTATGCATGCTGATTATTATAATGATAAATAAAAAAATATATTCATCGACATCATTTGTTGAAATGATTGCTATAAAAACTCATACCTCCAACTCATTCATATGATCCTGACTTTCTGAAGACCATTGCACTTGCTACATGTGACTTTAAAAAACGCCACTCTAACAAACCGTGAAATAATCAATCAGGTTTTAGTATTCCTTCTGGGATGTTAGTTTTTCATAAAGCATAGTAATGTTATTAGCTGTCTCAGTAGTCTAATCTAATCTAATATGAAATAACTGATTTCATATTCAGAGATTGACATAATGTGTGATAACTGATTTCCTTTAACATGTAATTATTCTAAAAAAGTTGAATTACATGGAAATGAATGGGTAGTCAATAGGAAGCTCTTGAGGTGATATGAGAAATTAAACTCTTACGTAAAATGTTTATTGCAATCAATAAAGTCATACGGTTAATAATGCTTGCTCATTATTCTTGTTTTCATTTCTTCATTCCTTTACAACAGCTGTTCCACATGAAGGCGTTCAGCACTTCATATCGATTACTATTCACTTGATACTATGCAGTGATGACTGAAGGTGTAGTAAAGACTTCAGCCACTGCAGGATTTTAACTAACCACCTCATTCATCAGATATATGATGATGAAACATGCCAGGTGATTCACAATGGAAAGCTCAATGACAACTTTAAAGTGAAGACAGGAGTAAGACAAGGTGACCGCCTAGTATCACCCATGATCTTCTTCATTGTGGTCGACTCGACTGGATCATGCAACAAAATGCGAGGGGAGAGAAAATCGGATCATGCTGGCTGGACCGATGAAAAGAGCTTAAGAGATTCGGATTTCACCAATAACGACTTATGTCTAATGTCTCGTCGAACAAACTCGAAGATCTACAGGTGAAAATTAACAAGTTGGCAGGAGAGGCAGAGCAATGAAGGAAGATGTGATTTCGTTCAAGTGAACATAGAGCAGACACAGGTGATGAAGATACCCAACCAAACAACCAACCAACCAACCAACCACCACCAACAACAACAACAATCACTAATCATCATGAATGGGAGAGTTTGTGTTGGAGTTGAAGGTGATATTGTGTAGATTGTGTGAGGGAGGAATGAAGGTTTGTCGGCAGTTGTTGAGGCAGGTTGTAAATACTTCGGAGAAGAGAGTGAAATGGTGACGTGCTGTTGAAGCTGTATGTTCCAATAGGAAGCCAAGGGAGAAATAATAATAATCTTGAGGTGATCAAGGATTTTAACTTGTCTAAAAGTCACACAAGTGAAATCAGTATATTTGTCATTACATCAATACTCTAGAGTATCAGGGATATTCATGTATCACTGTTATTTTTCAACTTAATTGAATTTTTCACAGAAATCCTTATATGTAAGTATATATTGTCTTGTAATAAGCTATTGTCATAGCAATATCCACATTTTTACAAATAAACAAACACTTATTTACATGGTTAAAATGAATTAGAAAACATTTGATTATCACTAGACTTACATGTTGATAATTCTGTGTGTTACAATACTTATCATTATTTTCCCATATCTGTTGATTTTGTCCAAATTTTCCACAATCATTTTCATGCTGTTTCATTTTATATTCATATAAAGACTTTTTATTCAATCTAACAGGAATTGGAGGTATTTGTTGGTGTTGTTGAGATGTAACTGACGATTGTTCTGTTTCCCAACTGGGAATAATATATGCTAGTGATACAGTACAATTAGCATTAGTATTACTGAATAACTTTTCTTTTGCATAGACTTGTTGACGTTGTACACAAACTGGTGATGGATGACGTTGTAGTAATTGACGTTGCTCTTTCTGCTGTTGAGATGATCCTGATGATGATTGTGCAGACATTATTGAGGATGAATGTCCAAAACACTGACTAGCCACAATAAAATTAGGTAATCGAGTGGATGGATAAGCTGTATAGTTTCCGTTGACAGTATCATTGAACTCAGTGTTATTTATACTATTTGGATCGTAGGCACATTGATGTAATCCCATCATAGTATTTGTTCCATGTGGATAACAAGAATGCGAATGAACTGTAACATTGCCTATAAGATAAGTATAAAGAAAGGGATCCTGATATCAGTTTGCTGAAGGAAATAACAAAGTTCCTTCGTTACATATTGATATGTGTAAAATGGATGAATTTTCTACCTCAACAGTACGCACATACAACCTGTTAGTGCATACACCATGTGACCTGAACTTCCTGAGTTCAGTGCCAAGTAGGGTCATATGTGCGTGGTTCTAAGGTGTCTCATCTAGCTCTTCACTCAACTAATATCTTTCTTAAATACAGGGCAATGTGTTATGTCTTGGCATGTATTGGCTTTTGTTTCAGCAACAGTTAGAATACTACGCGATCCAAACCAACATTTTAAACTGAATTTATCACATTCAGCAGTGGGGTATGTTGTATTTCAATATTTAGGATAAACAATTTAACAATGCAGAGAGTAATAGCTTGAAGTAAGTACGTTATAATATTTTATATAGTTCTATGAACATCAGTATGGAATGATCCCTTTAATTTCGAATAATGTTAACTTTTATAGTTACCATTTGACTATCCGAGATAGCCGTAGTTTGGCAGACTAGTATTTATGCTAGGTGATTGAAGGTGAGATGGGAATTTGGACGGCGGCCGGATTGAAGTGGAGTAAAATAAAAATCTGGTCAACAGTGGGATCACGTAGCTCAATTGGAAGAGTATCGGGCCGGTAGCCCGGTAGTCGCTGGTTCAAATCCTGTCACAGTCCAAATTTCCATTTGACCTTTAGTCATCACCTAGCTTTTATAGTTCTTTTTCCATGTTCTACACTTTAATCAGATCTTTGGGTTGTTCATCAGAGTATACGGGTAACAGTTGATCTAACAGTAACATCTTCTATGGTAATGATTGATAGTTTGTCTAGAAGTGCAATGTGGGAAGCAGGTTAAGTCCTATTTGAGACTTGTCAGCTGGATGTGCTTGACTCCAAGAGAGTAATGTTGTTCCCTCTAAGACATGAACCCAGGACTCATCGCTTCAAACACTAGAAGTTTATCCAACAGACCACCAAGTCACGATAGTTACTCCTTGTGCGATGGCTATAGTTTCGATGCAATTGCTTGTAATTCCCTATCGTCTACTGAACCGAAATTGATCCATCCCTATTGAGATATGGGCTCCAGTGAAGATGTCTCGATATCACCCCTAGTACAATAACTTAATAGTTAATTTACGCTCATTCTTTATATGGAAATCGAATAAATTAACTTAATTGCCTGAAATCAAGGACATTTTCTTGAAAAAGTATTTCGAACTGGAGGTATATGCAGTAGGATTGAGAGGAAGCTAGTAGGAATTTATTGTTTTCATCCAAATGTACTCAAATGTAGTTACACAAGTGAAATAAGCTTAACATAGTGAATCATATCAGTTCACTACTGATATGTAGCGACTGCTACTCACAACAGTGTATGTAAGTAGTATATATACGAACATTGAAGTTAACAACAAACGATTATTGAGAATCTAGGCAAAAAGAATAAGCAATATCAAAGAGGAGTACAAAAGAAAAAGTGGTGAGTAGTGTAATGTAGTACAAGTGATCTTTTGTAAATGGAATTCATATTTAAATATTCAGCATTTTTAACGATTTTGGTTGTATTTTCCCTTCATAAGATTTTCACAAAAATTCTTTATCAGTTTCAGATTTTGATAGGGGTTTATTGATTGCAGTCTAAATTTCCTTCCAAAGGCCTAATGGTAACCTGAAGGTCGTGGGTCTGATCCCTGATGGGGGTACGCGGTGCTGAAGAGTCCCGTACTAGGACGAAACAGCTCTCCAGTGATTCTACAAGTGATTTCAGTCAGTGATGGGTGAGGTTTGGAATTATGTATCAAACAAGGTTGGATATATTCAAAATATATCTGAAAGTGCTTGATTATAGCCAAATAATCGGTATCGGTTACTACGAACCAATAAATTTATCAGTTTTACAGACGGTATTCCGTATAATTCATTGTAAACTTTCATTTTCCTTCAAAATATTTTCTTCCTTGAAGAGGTAAACTCAAGCATCTAGATGTCTACATATATTCTGTGTGTAGCCATTGAGAATACCAGGATTTCAGCATGATGAACTTCAGTTTCTCATTAAGGCGTGTATACTTGCTCTAGTCTTTGCTACCTAGGTGTGGATAAAGTGTGACTTACTATGTGACATATGAAACTATAAATGAGTATTGAATAACCGTAAGTTAGAAGGGACTTTAAAAGTCACCCTAACAATTCTTGTGATGACCAGTTAAGCCTCCATATTTTATGGAAAACTACTTTTCTAGCCGGAATGCCAAAACTTGATTGGCTGCTTCAGCATTTGCTAGGGTGACCTTTAGAGTCAGCCTTAGTCACCTATTTATTAGCGTAGTCATTCACTTCATAGAACACCAACACACCTCTGAATTCCATCATAGTACTGAGTTAGTGAGAGTAACTGCTAACCTCAGTATGCCTCATTTTTATCATAACATTCTCATCATCAATACCCTAATTGATGCAGCTAATAACATTCGCTTGGCGATGCAACAATAAACACAGAATAAAACATATAATAATCCCACATTAGGTAAAGACATAGCAAAAAGACTCGTTAAAAGTAAAGCTGAGTTGTAATGCATCATACATTTTGTTATCTAGGGTAAAGCTAAAATTCTGTAAGGCATTTACTACAGAGATCTTCAGTTGGTATCCGCCTGACTTCAAACTGCTTGACACCAGAGGTGGTAGTTTCTTGCCAGAACTTTGAGATATTTATCTTGAAGCATGCCACTAATGCTGTGGGCCATGATATTTTACTTAATGCATGGGTCATTTCGGTCAACAGTTAGTTCAACATACCGCAGCAAGATAGCTACAGTAACCACTAGTGAATAACATTTTGTAAAATTTTACCTTATTATCCAGATCCTCTTGAAGATGTTGACATGTCTACGTCAGTGAAGGTAGATGGCATTTCAGTCTTGAGTAAGCATTGTATTTATGGACATTAGCAATATTCCTAAGGAATTTTAGGTTGGTATTTATAATGAGCTGATATCAGTTGGAGAGTCACTGGAAACCTGGTAGTACTGAATAGTTGTTTCGTCCTGGTATGTGACTCCTGAGCAGTGCACACCAATGACCCTGACGGGGATCAAACTTAGAAACTTCACATTCTGTGGCTAGCATGTTTACATTGATCCAATGGGTCGAACTCTAATGATTCATATTTCCTACTTGATATCGACTGTTGTAAAACTTCGGAATGAAGTGAATTCAAGGAAATCTTTGAAGTGACGTTAAGGTTCAGGGTACAGAAACTAGATATCTTTGCCTATAACTTCTAGAGAAGAACTCAATAGTCTTTGAATGAATATAGCAAACAACCAGTACAGGAAAGATTACATAAGCTTTTAACAGTAATCTAATTATTCAACAGTTTGCTGCTGTTTTGAACTGAATTACTAAAGACATTAGAATCAGCATGAAGCGAATGCTTCAATATTCATCTGAAAAGTACTCCATGGAAAGCTTATCTCACAGTGCAATGTAAAACAAGATAGGCATCCTAAACACATACATGGAGTAATATGTAATTGGAGATGACTCTAAAAGGTCCTACTGGTTTTATAATCAGCATGGTCATTATGGTATGGAAATGCATAGAAGAAAAAGGTACTACCATTTCATTTCTAACTTTTTTGATCGACGTATGAGAAGGAATCAGAAATTTCGCCAGCTGATAACGTAGAAGGCAGCTGTTATGACAGTTTAAATGTTTTGGATAAGGAAAATGAATGGAGAGATTCTTGACCTTATTTTTCAAATAAGTTATTCATCACCCCCTATCTACCCCCTCCCCCCCCACACACTTCGAACAAAAGGGCACTTCATAACTGAAGACAGAGAGCCAGAAGTAGATTGATTGTCGAAAACCTTAGGTTAGATGTAGAATCATCTTAGGAAATGTGCGACACAGTGAGTCAACTGTGAAAACTTTGGGTTAGACAAAGGGAAAATGTCGTAAAACGTTGTATTTGGCCCGACATTTTCTATAGTAAGTGGCTTAATATTACCTTATTTGATCAGCGTTTTTAATGCATACTACCTAACTATTATATGGATGAGAAGTACTCTTCACCTTAAGGCTGGCTGCTGTTACGTCACCCTAATGAATACCAACAAACACGAAACCTAAATTGAGGGTTTTTTCACACCAACAACAATTCAAGATATCACAGTAATCACGTTATCTTTCCATTACAGATTCTGTTGTCACTCGGTTCCTTTTCCAAGTTAAACCAGGCACGTTTGACAAAATAGCTTTATTCTCATTTCATAGATTTCTGCACTCACTCAGTAAGCTAAAGAAACAATAGGAAAAATTATTGTCAGTTTCTACTTACTGTTAAATCATACATTAGTGATAATCCAGCTTCCTACTACATGAGTAGTGCACCGTGGTATTTAGACTGAGAGAAAAAACATCAAGTTTTCCAATCATGTTACCATTAGCTAGGAAAAGTATGTAAGGGGTAAACATTTTGTATCTCTGTTTTTCAGTTTCTGTAAATGAAGCTTAAGATTAGGGTGTATCAACTCAAGGAACATAGACTAAGGCTGTTTGAGAATTTCAGTATTGATGAGACTATGTTGTAGATATGAATACAACTGACATGGCAAATTGCTGTGTCATCCGGAAATAAGATGAGTACACATTTCTAAAAGCTTCAAATACCATAGCTATGCTGTCGTCCGCCACCTTCAGGTTATTATTATCAACTAATTTTGTGAATAACAATTTTGAAGTAGTTTCCTTTTGACATTCACAAAGTCTTCATTCAATGTTTACCATTATGCTACAGCGTGAAGTCCAATAAACCTGTGAATCTCACAATTAAAGCCTTGAGTACTAAGTTATTGTTACATCTCTAACATGTTGTTTTTCAAATGCTTTAAACTAAGTGAAAACTGATTCGAATAGTTATGTAACACGGATTTTTACTTCACCTCAAATTTTC